TTCACAGTAATACTAAGCTATAGAGCATGGCTGAGTTTAAAAAAAAAAAAAAAAAAAAAGGTAGTGAAATGGAAGGAAGTAGAGAAAGTTCCTGGAATGGTGCAACTGGAGATGAGACACGATTTGCCTTCAAAGCACTAGCAGTAGAGTAGAGCAGGTTTGTGGAGACTCATACTGCTTTTGCAGGAGTGCAGTACGCTCTGTTGAGGGTCTAGCCCTGATACTGCTGTAGCTGTGCTTATGATATATTCCAGCGCTGGAGATGTTTGTCTTTAGTACCAGATGCTGGTTGGTAGCTAGAAGATTTTTGTCATTTATTTACATATTTACAATGTACCAATAAATTATATTAAACATGCCGTTTACCCACTGATCTCAACAGCTTGTGAGGAGAAAGTAAACTTAAATTTTCTTGTGGTAGGCTCTGTACCAACTTTGTAATTAGGCAGCTATTCCAGCTGACTGAAGATAGAGAGTTCATCTGGAAACTCCTCCTCCTGCTGGAGCTGAGGACAGGCTGAGCAGGTGTTTTATACCACTTCCTTCCCCTCTGCAACCGAGTAAAAACTCTCTCAGTCTAGTCCAAAGGCAAGAGACCACTTGTTTTCCACCATGTAATTCACATATCAGTGAGTTTCAGTATTTAAACAACAGAAATAAAACAATGTTCAAGTTGAAAATATCCACCAAAAAGCAGAATTCACAATTTAGTCTCACTGTTGGTATGAGATCCTCTGGAATCAGAGTACCACTAAGCTGAGCTCAGTAAAACTAAAACCCAAGGGTGCCTATAGCTGACCAGTAAATAATTGATAACCTTGCTTGGAGAGCCTATTGCACAGTAATGTATACAACGGTAATGTATGCAACGAATTAAATTGAAATGCCTGAAATGCAAAATCATGGTGTAAAATAGTATTTAAAATAGCATAATGGTTCTAAATAGGGTGTTAAGAGTGGTGATAGTCTCTTTTCAAATAGAAGTAGTCATGGAGTGCTCTAGTACTCTGCTAAACAAGATAGCTTAGTAGTCAAATTCCAGATGAAAGGGAGAGAGGGATTCATCATTCACTCCGGCAAAAAGTCCTAGCTTATAAGAAAGCTGCATAATTAATGCTAGATATTTTAAAGCCATGAATTGCAATTCCTATATAAGCTTTGGAAATGGAAAAATGTACCCTGGAAATATTCCTGAGGAGGTAGGAAGGGCACCTGCTGAGCCTCGTGTACACTAAGTCAGAAATTGAGAGCCAGGGATCTGAAAGACAAACATAGACCAAAAGGCTATGGCTCGGCCTTCTGCAGAAATTACGTGGGTTTATTTGACAGGCAGAATCTGCTAATGACTCGTAAATTAACTTACAGCCCTAAATGTAGCAAGTGCTGAGAATCAAATTCAACACTTTGATTTTGTGCGTTTTTAGTTGAAAAAAATATTTCCCAACCACATACCTTACAGTTGAAAATCACATTCATGCCGGTTCCTCCAAAGATGCATCATCAGAATAGGAGATCCAGATGTGGCTGTTGCTCTAATCACAATTAATTGACAGTTTATAAAAGCTATCATCTTAAGGAAACATCTACATGTTAAAAAGATTGGGATCAAGAAGAAAGCCCCATGGAGTAGTTTAAGGCTCCTCACCTCACTAGAAATAAAATCAGCAGGCGAAGCGAAAGAAATATAATTAGAAAACTGAGTCTTGAACCAGACAAAACCTCTTCTCCTGTATGCTAAGTCTACCATGAAGCTGTAAAAGCTGTTTACACTAAAGCATCATCTAAGATATATAATAGAACTGGAATCTGTAGTTGAGATTTTCACAGCCACTTAATGGATTTAGACCTTTATTTCTTACATTGCAACAAATAGTGAGTGGTGCCAATTCTTGTGCTTTGATTATTAGTCTTTTGCTATTTGGTGTCTCCTAGGATCCAAGAAAACGAGAAGATAAGCTTTCATCTATATTCAGTTATATGTTATATGTATGTATTTATATTTAAACATGTGGCCTTCTTGGCTGTGAAGAAAACCTTGAAAAGGGAAACCCACATCCATCATTAGGTACACAGAGGTAAGATAACTGTCTTAGTACTGAATTGTGTTTTGCGTTGGTTTTATTGTATGCCTTTCTTGCTGTCTTAGTAAAGAAAGCTAAACTGCTCTGAGCTCTGTCCTGCCATGTCTAGACCATCACTGGTAGCTACATTATCTACTTGTAACAATACCTTGATTAACTTTATCTTCTGCTATGGTTTCCTCTGTGACTCCAGTGTAGGCATCAGTTGTTCCTCACTGACAGTTCTCTCTGTAGGTGTTACAATTTGCTACTATCATGCCTCCCAGAAACAGGTGAGCTCTCAAGTTTTAATGCAGGATTCATTTTCCAGTAAAATCACTGAGTGCTCAAGAGTCTTTATGTACAGGAAGGAGTAGGAATTAATTTGTTCTCTTTTTGCCCTTTTCTCAGATAAACAACAACCGCAGTGAGAACTACCATCTCTCTCTGAAATTGTTCTTTCATGATCTACAATTTATTTATTTATTTTCTGCAAATGAAAGCGTATAGTCAGAAGTTTTACTCACCACCAGCCCCTCCAAACAACACCCCCCTCCCTGAACTTCAAGGATAGGACTCAGGCGAAACAATTCAGATATGTCCAAGTTTGCAGTGAGCCTGAGGCAATAGCTTAAAGTATAGACAGCCCAGTTTATTTTCAGTGAAGTTTCTTTTAATCTCTAAAACCACTCTGTGCATTGCGTGACCCTCACTGCGTATAAACTCAAAGGAGTTGAATGCACTGCTATGGTATCACAATCTGGATGATTACCACAAAGCCAATTATAACCAACCTGACAGTCAAGATCAATGCTAGTCTGACCAGGAAAGCCTCAGAATATCCACCTACTGACAGTGCACACTGATGTCTAAATAAATGTGATGCTGCAATCTGGTCAAATGTCGCTAAAGCATCTTAAACTCAGATATCCTGGTAAATGCTCCCAGGAAGGCTTGAAGTGGCTAAAAGGGGAAAAGATGTAGAGTAGGCAAAAGAGAACTCTTCCCTAGATAATGCTTCTTTAATGTAATGCTACTTGGAAAGCATCACGGATAGATTAAAGCAAACCCTTCAAAACCACTCTCCAACTTTCCATCTAAGAATGAAAGTTGAACTCATGAAAGGTGCTAACTTGCAGGTGAATGCTCAGCTACAAGTTAGCATCAGTAGTCCTGACTGCTGGCCAACTGGAAAAAAACTGGACTGCTGGCCTGCAGGAAAACTGTTCTAGAGAGGGGCCTTATCACAAACTTAATGCAAGAGGCAACATGAAACAGGTTACAGGGAATATTGATTATGTTATCGGCATGAGGAAGTAGAGTGCTTTACTATTAAATCTCAGGAAAACTTGATTGAGTTTCTCATCTGAAAATGAGTCAGGGAAATTCCTGTGGTGCACACTGACAGTGCAAATTGGGGAATTCTACTGCAAAGAGTTCTCGGGGCATAGATTTTGATATTTATTGTCATTGTTGACTGTGGGAGTAAAAAGAACAGTGAAGAGTTGCTTAGTTAGAATTAATAAATACATGAGTAATGTAATACAATTGTGTTATCATTAATTCCTTGGTTAAAATTATTTCTTCCACTGGAAATTACCAAAGATAAGACATGAGTCACAATCAGCACAGCAGAAATAAACTAAGAAGAAATTACCCATTCCTGCAGTGGCTTTTTGCCAACACAAACAGGAATAATACGGTATTTCTGTGCAGTTTTCACAGATCAGTAAACTTTGCTGCTTGATGATGCACGCTCCGCACCCAGTATGCCGTGCCCGCACAGGACCCAAACTTTGAAGTTTTCCTGATCCGATGCGCTAAGAGTATTAGAAGGGTCCTTTCCCTCACCGACGGGTAACGTTGTTCTCATGTCATGCACTGACCCGCGGGTCGGCGACGCACCTGCCCAGGGAGCGGCGAGGAAGCGGCAGCGGCGCCGCCCGTCTGCTCCCGTTACATGGCGGGGGCCGGTCCTGGGCAGGAGCCGGAGAGAGCAACTCCATCTCCCTGGTGGGGAAACGCAGCCACATAAACAAGGGGGAAAGCAGCCCCGAGGGGAAGCCTCTCCTGCCCAGACGGCACCGCCGACAGAAGCGGTGGCACTAGCAGGGGCGTCCGCCCTCGCCCAGCTCAGGACGCGCACAGGCGCGGCGGCCCCGAGCCCTCAGCGCGGGAGGAACCACCGGTTACATAACGCCCGCCAGGGAAGCGGAGAGCGGAGCTGCGGACAACTCCGCCGGACCCCGCTCGGCCACGTCTTCCCCCGCCTCAGAGCGGGGCGGACAACGCTCCTACGGACCCTCCAACCGTTGAGTCGAGCAGCCCGAAGCCAGCCGGCGCTCCGGGCCCCGGCGGCAGCGGAGGGCAGACACCGGGCACCCACTTGACGCCTGCCTCGCCGCCTCAATGCGCATGCGCAGCTGCTGGGTTGGGGGGGTGGGAGTGGAGGAGTGGCGCATGCGTTTCGCGGGCCCCCGCCAGAGCGCGGAGCATGCGCAGAGGCGGCGGTCGGGAAGCGTCGGAGGGAGGGTGGTTGGCGGCAGCGGGCGCTGGCGGGGCGGCGGGAGGGTTGCCGGGCGGCGGCGGCGGCCTGCCCCGTGTCCCGCCGCGGCGCAGCTCGGCGGGGGGCTCTGGTGACGGCCGAGTGGCTCCGGAGGCCGCTGCGCTGCCGCGCCGGCAGCGCCCGAGCCAGGCTGTGCCCCAGTTTGTGTCCAATCAGAGAGTGAAGTGCGTGCACTGAGCGGGGCGGCAATGCGTAAACAAGCCCCGGGAAACTCCTCCGCCCCTCGCTCTCCCCTCCGCGCCGCTCCCGCGCCTCCCCGCAGCCTCCCCCGCCGCCCGCCAACAACTCCAACGAGGCGCGCGCTCCCGCCGCCCAACCGCCTCAACCGCCCTCCCCTCCCCCGCCCGCCCGCCCGCCCAGCCGGCGCCGCCCGCGCTGCCACACGCACCCCACTCCCGCACACGCCCGCGGGTGCCCGTGGCCTCTCGAAGGGGAAAGGTAAGGGGCCCGCCGAGCCGGCCGGCAGCAGGGGCGGGCGGGGGCCGCCGGGCAGGCAGGAGGCGGCGGCGGGGTGTGGGTGCGTGCGGGTGGGGGCGGGGGGGTGGGGGGGAGGGAATCATGTGTCATAACAAGTTGTTGAACGTGACATTGCTCTTGAACTGCGCTGCGGCGGCGGCGGGGAGCGGGGCTGCGAGGGGCAGGGGCCGCCGAGTAACTTTCTGCTGCGATTCGCCGCTAAGGAGGGAGCCGGCTGCGGGGCGGGCAGGGCGGCGGCGGCCCGCGGGGACGGCGGAATGCGCCCGGGAGAGGCTGATGCCGTTCGCGATGCTCGGAGCTGCCGGAGGGGGCCGGCGCGCAGCGCGGCTGGGTGACGAGCGAGCGCTTCGCGTCTGGCTGCGGCGGGAGCCGTTTCCACCCCGACGAGGATTTTTCTAGCAAGGCGCCTGGGCGGCTAGTTAGCGAGGAGTAGGTTCTGGTCCAAAGCGTCTGTTCCTGCGGGTAGTTATCCCTGGGTAATGCTCCGTGGCAGTTTGGCTCGCTTCCGTCGTGATTAGCTTGGCTTATTACATAAGATGTCACCGGAGGAGGAGAGGCACAAGTCCTCTGTGTGGCGGCGGGGGGGGACGCGGGTCCGCCGTGCCTTCCCGCGCCAGGTACCGGAGCCGAGGGAGCAGCCCCGGCCCGGGGCGGGGAGCTCACCTCGCAGCCCGCCGGTGAAATACGGCAGCTCGTTTTCCACGTGGGTTGGGTGTGTTTCCCAAACCTCGCCTTTGAGCTGAAACATAACCTGTTCTGGTTCCTCTCTGCATGTTTGATTTCTTCTTTTCTCTCTCTCTCTCTCTCAAAAAAAAAAAAAAAAAAACCAACCCAAAAACAAACAAAAAAAAACCAAACAAACAAACAAAAAAAAAACCACCACCAAAAAAAAAACATAAGAAAGTTTAAGAACTTGATTTTTGCTCCCTTTTTGTGCATGGCTAGTATGTTAACATGATCTGGAGACGATTGAATGAATCATCAGTTCCATGGAATAAAAGCAAGTGAATCATCTCTCATACACACACAACTGTGAGGGAGCAGAGTTGTTACTGTAGATAGTGAAAGGTTAGTGTCAGTTTCTGATACGCAGTGGAACCCAAGAAGTATAGACAGTGCTCAGAGACCCACCAGGTTTCCTGGGGCTAGTTTGTGAACTGTGAAAGTTTTGCAACACTCAGTTGCAGTTTTTCTGGCTCAGTGGTTGAATGGTAACCTTCTGTAGCAACTCGCTACCCTTTATTCTAGCCATATTCTCAAAAGGGTGTTGTTAATGGAAAGATTTAAGCAACTGTGCTATTCAAAGTGTATTAATTTAAAATAAAACTTAAACCTTCCCTAAATGGTATCACACAATGTCCATACAGTGAAGCCAGAGACAGATGCCAGATGCTTTTAATCTGGGATTTGTTTTGTTTAGTTTTGTTAAGCAGAAAAAGTTAGTCTCTGTTAAATTATATAAATAAATATTTGGAAAACAAATTAAACCAGTTTATTCAATAAAAAAGGCTTAAGTTGTACCTAGATAGACCTATGTTCCTGATCCTTTTGCCTGTTTCTGTTTTAAATGGAATTGAGGCTGGGTCCTATATATAATTTTTCTTTCAACTCTGACTCGGTTCCAAAGTGGAATTTCCATCCTCCACATTTTCTTGACACATCTATCTCTCCTTGTACAGAGGCAGAACTATGAATTTTACAAGATTAAGTTATCTTTTTTTTTTTTTTTTCTCTCAGCATACCTGCTCCTGTTGAGAAATGAAGTCACTGTTTACGTCAGGGAGGTAGTGCTTTACACATACAAGCACTTGGGTTTACAGTATAAAAATATGTGAAGAACTTTGTATGTCTTATTAGTAAATCATTCTGTCTACTTTGGCATCAGCTATACTTTATCTTGTTGCCCCTCTTTTGTACCTCTAGCCATTCTCCAAAGAGGAATGGAGGAATAAATCAGTCATGGAAAAGATTGATCTGGGTATTTGTTACTGTTGGGGAGAAGGGGCATGTTACCATTTTTGTTTGTCTAGAACTGAGAGCACTTGCACTTCAAAAACAGTTTTATAGCATTAATTACAGGATTGGAGAAATTAAGTGTGGGAAAACTATTACTTCAGGGCTCATTGTGTGGTTTTTAACACCTTGCTATCAGAAGATTCTGGAGCTAACCAAGGTAAGACTGCACACATCTGTGAACACTGTAATAGAGATTCTCTTAGGTATATTGGGTGGTCAAGTTAACAAACAGGAAAAAATACTATTATATTTGTACATTTAAATCAGCAGTTGAAAAGCATTCATCCTTTTTTATTTAATTTTCTTACAAAGAAGATAGAAACATACGGTGTGTATGGTATTTTATGTGCCCAGATGTCAGCTGAAAGCAGTAAAGCAAATAATACTGAAAGTGGACTCACAACTGCTCCAGCTGTTTTCCCCTGCTCTACATGTGCTCTGGGCTTCAAAGCAGAAGTGAAAAATTCTATATTTCACCTTTAAGCCTGCAGAATGTGCGAAATAAAGTGAGATAAAATTGATTGGTTTAAGGTTGCTTCTGTGCAGCTCCATTTTTAGGATTGATAAGCAGATTACTGTAGGATGCACAGCAGAACTTTGAGAACAGTGGAGGGCAATGCAGATAAAAGTAGAGTGTCTGAAATTTGTATCTTGTTTTAGCTATGTTGGGATACATAGGTTTTGTTCTTATGATAAACTTACGAATATCAAATCTTGCACTGCCTTTTATCAAAGAGAAAAAAATTAAGTTATAATGATTATTTGAAATGAATAGTGCTTTGCTCAAAAAATAGTTTAAGTTACCACCTGCTTTGCAGATTTGGTGCTCTGAAAGACTAGTGCCAACAGCACCTTCCAGTCTTTCCAGCTATCTCAGATAGAAATGAATGGTTAACAATGGGGGGCAGGGGGAAAAGAAGAAATATTTCCTTTTTACAGTTTTTGATTTAAAGACCCTTTCTAGACAGATGCAGCAGTCCCAAGCAGAGTTTTTAACTATTCTGTAGAAAGGCATGCTGCTGGTGTTGAAAAAGAGAATCCTTACTTCAGCTGTTGAAAACTGCACCAAGTGCATATTGGCCCAGGGGTCATTTGCTCCCCAAATCCTCCGTTAAAAACAGTTGTTGCAGTTGTCTGAGAAGAAGTTTAATTTCTATTACGAGTCAGTAATTAAAATATTAAGAAAATAGTTAGAAAAAGTTGGTACTATACCAAGCTATATCACTTTGCATTGCTTTATATATTACAGTTGTAGCCAATCTGTTCTTCAATGTTGGCAGATAGTGCCTTAGACATTTCTTACAGTTAAGGTTATTTCCCCAATTACTGTGTTGTTCCAATAAATGTAGTGCCATGAAAAGTAACAGCTCAACAGACTTTGAGACTGAAGCCCGTGATGAGCAGAGCAGGTATAGCACTGGCAGCAAGTTCTACCATGCTTTGACAAGACTGTGTGTATCTAGCTGCATGTGCACATGTGGGAAATATCAGTGTTACTTTATCTGAATTATTGCTTACAAAATAAAAATTGTCCACTGCCGTGTATAGGACATTTCTGGAATAAAGGATACATAGTGTTACATGAGCACTGTGGTCTCAAGAACTGTCACTATTAGTTCTAACACGTGAAATAAATAATTTTCATAGAATGGTTTGGGTTGAAAGGCCCTTAAAGACCACCTAGTTCCAACCCCCCTGCCATGGGCAGGGTCACCTTCCACCAGACCAGGTTGCTCAAAGCCCCGTCCAGCCTGGCCTTGAACACCTCCAGGGAGGGGGCAGCCACAGCTTCTCTGGGCAGCCTGTGCCAGTGTCTTGCAACCCTCACAGTAAAGAATTATTTCCTTATCTAATCTTCCAGTTTAAAACTTAACCCTCATCCTGTCACTACACTCCCTGATAAAGAGTCCCTCCCCATCTTTCCTGTAGGCCCCCATTAGGTACTGGAAGACTCCCCAGAGCCTTCTCTTCTCCAGACTAAACAACCCCAACTCTCCCAGCCTGTCCTTACAGGGAAGGTGATCCAGCCCCCTGATCATCTTTGTGGCCTCCTCTGGACCCGCTTGAGCAGATCCGTGTCCTTCTTATACTGGGGGCCCCAGAGCTGGACACAGCACTGCAGGGGTGTCTCATGAGAGGGGAGTAGAGGGGGAGAATGCCCTCCCTTGACTTGCTGGCCACACTTCTTTTGATGCAGTCCAGGACACAGTTGGCTTTCTGGGCTGCAAGCGTACATTGCGCGCTCATAGTCAGTTTTCCATCCACTAATATTCCCAATTCCTTCTCTGCAGGGCTGCTCTGAATCTACTCATCACCCAGCCTGTATTTGTGCTTGGGATTGCCCTGACCTGTGTGCAGAACCTTGCAATTTGCCTTGTTGGATTTCATGAGGTTTGCATGGGCTCATCTCTCAAGTCTGTCAAGGTCCCTCTAGATGGCATCCCTTCCCTCCAGCATGTTGACCGCACTACACAGCTTGGTGTCATCAGCAAACTTGCTGAGGGTGCACTCAGCCCCACTGTCCATGTCACCAACAATGATGTTAAACAGCACTGGTCCCAATACTGACCCCTGAGGAATGCCACTCACTGCTCTCCATTTGGACGTTGAGCTGTTGACTGCAACTCTTTGAGTGTGACCATCCAGCCAATTCTTTATCTACCGAGTGGTCCATCCATCAAACCCATGTCCCTCCAATTTAGAGACAAGGATGTCATGCGGGACAGTGTCAAAAGCTTTGCAGAAGTCCAGGTAGATGATGTCAGTTGCTCTTCCCATGTCCACCAAGACAGTAACCCCGTTGTAGAAGGCCACCAAATTGGTCAGCCACGATTTACCCTTAGTGGAGCCATGTTGGTTGTCACCAATCACCTCCTTATTTTCCATGTGCCTTGGCACAGTTTCCAGGAGGATCCACTCCATGATCTTGCTGGGCACAGAGGTGAGCCTGACTGGCCTATAGTTCCCAAGGTCTAATTTATTTCCCTTTTTAAAAATGGGGGTTATGTTTCCCCTTTTCTAGTCATTTTGACTGGTTGCCTAAAACTGAAACCATTTATCCCATTATTAATAGTTGAATTCATGCACATTTCAGCAGTTTTCCTAACATCTGGCCAAACTTCATTTTCTACTGTGCATTGGTCATTTCTTCCCTGTTATGGAATAATTTTCTTCCTTTGTCATTGTTTTATATGTGTTATAACGTGTGTTATGTTTGTTTATATGTGTTTAGGTATGTCAGAAATTTTAAAAATAGGTGGCTAATTTGCCATAATAATCCTATTTTTCCAAAGCACCTAACTAGGAAAACACAAGAAGACATCTCAGAAGAGGTTGAAGATGAGAGTAAAAGTTACTGGGAGGATCCTCAGTTCCTTAAGATACTGTTATATTAGTGGCTGATGCATTGCAAGGAGGGAGGCACCAGGCTTCAAGTTGTTGCAGGGTGTTATGGTTCAAGAACTGCTTTCTCATGTTGAATCCTCACTGGCAGTTGAGTTTGCACTAGTTGTTTTAAAGAGCGTACCACATGGGCATTGAGCAGTGACTGCTGAAGAACCAGGTATTCACACTGCAGGTGGGGTGGCTTTGGTGATACCTTATGCACAGCTTCAATATTGGTTCTTCCACCAGGAGGAAAACTACTCTGTAGTCATTCCACTTCTGCTCAGATCAAATTCTTACCAAAAGAACCCTACCTACACACTAAATCACTAATGGAGGTATACCAAGAAACAGTGTTGGGACCTAAATGGCGAAGCTGTGCTTTTCTTCTGATTCAAGGATATGATTCATTCTATGCATATTATTGATGGCAGGGTTACAAAATTATTTTCTGACAAAGATACATTGTTTCTGGCAATTTTCTGGCAATATCTGCTTCCTCAGAAAAATCTATGGCTCTGTGCTTATGGATAGCAGACAGCTGAATCAGTGAGTACAATCTGATACCATCAGGGAGGGCCGTAGTTTCTAATTGCTGTAGAATTGCTTGCATTCAGTTTATTATTCCCACCTTCCAAACTCCAACCTGCACACTTGTTTAGTTCACCTGTTACAGCTTAGTTTTTGTATTATGAGCTCTTGGGGAACACTTTGACATAGATTCCATATTTGTAGAATTTGCGGCACTGATTTGGCTTCCGATCTCTATGGAAATAAGTAATAAATAATAGCTTTTGTTTTATATGTTTTTACCTGAATCTTTACTGTGTGTCTATCTCAGTGCAAAGTAAAACCAAAACAATTCTTCTGGAGTTTTAATAGAACATTTTCCAAAGACCCACACTATAAGTAAAATATGACTCCAAATAGACAACAGTATGAATGAAAGAGAATAAAAAATCTAAATTCACATTTTTGTGCCTCATGTGAAGCTTCAGTGAGGGACACCATGAATACCACCAAGAGCAAAATTAAGCCTAAATAAAATAAGACTTCTATTTTGTTTTAACAGGAATTCTCAAATGTGATGAACTTCTGTAAGGGTCAGATTTGCTGTAATTTTCATAGTATCTTCTGGTCCTTCTTAAAAAAAAAAGAAAAATTATTTGTGATTTTTCTTGTGTAGCCAAAACACCCTGTGGTGCCCTGAGTAGAGATTTGCTCAGTTGTGGACTTCTTTTTGCACCTGAGCTATCCTGCTTCCCTTCACAGAGATGCGGAGTTAGAGACTGCTTATGCTGATTATAGACAGTTGAAATTGCTCCAACTGACTTCTTCCATGAGGAACCAAATGCTGTGGTTATAACTTGATGACAGAGAGGCAATTTTTCTTCACCTTGTAACTACAAGTGTGATTTCACATTGGCACTGTATCAGAGTATAGAAAATATATGGATTTTCAATGTAGTGTTACCTCTGTGGTGGTACATTTATATTAATTTCGCTTTGCAGTGGTCTTTAAAAGTGTTAATGTTCATGGATTACTTTTTCAGGACTAATGTAATTGTTCTGTAACAGTTTCAGCCAGTACTAATGAATTCCATTTTACTGAACAAAATAAGACAATACTCAACTTAGTTTGCAACAACTATGGACTAGTAGTTGTATGATCATATAGATGATTTAATGATTTTTTATGAGACAGTAACATATTTCCCAGTGGCTGCAGCTGACAAACTAACGTGCAGAAGTAGAATATCCAAGATTTCTCTTTAGAACTATAAAATGGAACATTTTGATATAAATTAACATTTACATTTTTAAAAAGAGTTTCTACCATCATATAAGAAATCAAAGTATTTTAATATGTATTCATACAGATACTGTGGATGTATGAGAACACGCTTGGATTAATTCTTATGTTTTGATCTGTCTATAGACATTTCATTTTTGTTTTAAGTAATTTTAAAATGGGGATAATTTATGTAAATAAAAGCTTTTTTTTTAAAAAAGTCCCTAATATGAGACAAGAATATAGGCTGTAATGTGTATTCTGCCCCAGTTGTTTTGTCCTGAGTGTCATAACCCACAAAAGGGTCCTGTTAGGGAACAGTCTCAGTTTCCAGTCTTCGCATTCTCATAACCACTGCATTTTCATAGTATGTGACTTTGTGATGCAGAAAGGAAGTACCTGCAGATTGAAGTTACTTGAATGGTCATAATTCCTATTTCAGCATTGTCAGTACAGTGATAGCCTTATTGGCCTTGATCAATAGCAATGCTTGATTCATAAGAGCAGCTCTCCAAGACTTAACACTGAGTCTCCTTAGCAGTTGCTGACATAATAATACAATGTAAAACTGATGACATGACCTATAACAAGATATTAATTTCCTGAATCTGAAGCTCTATGTAGAAGAAAGAAGAAGCACTGGAGTTCCTTTCAATAGCAGAAGACTTTGCATTGTGCTTCCTAGCTCTGGTTCTTTTTAACGATACTGGTAAAATATTATCACCCTATTAATTTAATTTGGATTGGAAAGTCTGTTTTTTAGATTATTCTAGTATGTGTTCAAAGTCTCCAAAAGAAAAATTATCACTTTTCTTTAGGATATAAAATGTGCTGGCATTATTAGTTTACCTATTTCTTAGATAGAATTTTTCAGATGACTTTTTGCATTGTATTACATCTATTAAAATCTTTGTGTACTAACAAAGCACGTTAAAGTAATAGAATCTGAAAATTAAATATTTTGAAGATAGATTTCAGTGCTAGTTACTACTGATCAAATGTGACAGACAGATAAATTCTCTCCGCCACAAAAAAGTAGTTGATCTTGAGATACAAGTCTTGAGAGATTCTTAGAGATGCAGCACCACTAATTAAAGCAAGTGCAATTATATTTATTTCCTCCCTCAAGAAGAATGGAATATGTAAGAAACCAGGCTCTTGATTAATTTCATAATGAAAACAGTTCTTTTTTTCAGATGGAAGGCCAGCTCTTAAATAGCCAGTGTGTGGATTGAATGAAGTTAAAGATGTTTCTGTCTTTCATGGTTTTACAGAATTGTTATTTACTTTTTTGAAGAATCATCAGTACTAACTGCAGAGACAAAAGATCCTTTATATGATATAAATGATATTTTGACTAAGTACTCTTGCTTGATTCTGGCTGTAGAATTTCCCTGCATACAAAGTGATTTTGAAGAGCTGCTTAATCAAACCAATATTTTTCAGCTTTCCATCTTAACTCTTGTGATATATCATAGATAAAGTAAATTTTCATGCTTTCATCCCAAATACATATTTACCAAAATTTGCAAATGTTTTGTGTGGACAGTGATCACAGAATGCAAATGGATTTATTTGAAATAATGTGCTCAGTGACAGTTGGTGCCTCACACAGGCAAGTGTTTAGAATATACTATTGATTTATAACTTTTGTGTATTCATTGCTGAAAATTTAGAACATAAATTTACATGGGATTAGTCTACAATTCAAAATTTCCAATAATTGCAGAGGAGCTTTTCCAATTAATTCAGTGTGAAGCTGGATGAAACCAGTGATAGACTTGTAACAGAGGAGCTTTTCTACATCTGGCTTCTCAAGGTATAATAGCTCTTATTACATCAACTAATACAATAGGGAAAAGCACACAAACTTTTGGGCATACAAGCCATTTTTCAGGTCTCAGACAATAGCAGCAAACCTTGAACTAAGGGTATGGGTTCAGAAGATGTCTATAGGCACTTCTATTGAACGACTGAAGTGCTGCTACTCTCCTTTACGCTCTGAGCCCTGGCAGTCGTTGAACTCCCGAATAAATTAAGTTTAACTAGCCCAACAGGAAAGTAATAAAACAACTGGTACAACTGGTCCATTAGGTCAGCTCTGCTGTTCAGTTAACTGTAGATTCAGGACAAGTTTGGAATAGTTGCTTTGAGTTTATTGTAGTTATGACATTAACATAGCTAATTTGAGGGAAAAGTGTGGTTATTGCCTATAAAACAAAGGGAGAGATAGTGCTCCATCATGGCCCGAAAGAACACAGGTCATTACCACCAGAACTCTGAAGGCTTTAGCTGCAGTGTCATCATGCAGTAGAGGCAGTATCTTCAGTAAGTATAATTTTTGGTATCTAGAAGATTTATGAATCCTTGTTTCAGGGTCTGACTTGGTGATCAGGACTGAGAAGTGAGAGGTGGAATTTTCTGATGAAAAATGTCCTCATGGAATTCGTTCTGGCACCTAGAAGTCTTGCTAATATGCATATAATTACATTGGCACAAGAACCGCACGGATAGAACAGTGTACATTAAGAAAGCGTTTCTTTAATATTTATTTAATATAAACTCTGGACTTCCTTTCTTGGATACTTACTAGGCTGCTGCACTAGAATTGAGTTTGGGTCACATGGACATGAATTGCTGGACCATGTTTTGATGTTCTCTGGTCTGGACTAATAGGTGCAAAATTTGCATCTGACTTCTTGAGAGTGCAGAACCCTCCAGGCTTCTCCCATCTATCCTATACCTAGATTTCTCAAGCACCTCTGATACGTAAAGAATATTTGCAAAGATCTGCTTAACATTGGGCCTTTAGATATACAGTTTCCATTTTTTTTATGGGGGTAATATGTGATAAAATTGACAGGTAATGTGCTGACTGAATAGAAGTTTCCTACCAGTGATGATAGCTGCTTACCATGTCATTTTTACTGTTTATTTTTGAAGAAAGTGTATTGGGTCTCATGAATCCAGGCTAGAATCCATAAAAATACAAACAGTTTAGAAATGTAGCCTTAGCTAATGAAAACTGATGTAATTTAAACTTCACTCGATCCATTTGACTTTATGCCAATATTGAATATGCCTGTAGATAAAGGAAGGCTGAACCACAATTACTGTTTGTACTTACTGTAGTTAAGTTACCACCGACCTGCTTATAAAATTGTCAGTTATTAAATAATTCCAAGAACAAGATTAGGGAAAAGTTGTCATTTTGCCCAGTTAAACAAAATTTTGTAACCATTTCATTAAGCTAGGATTTCAAATTTGGCTTAATTATTGCCCTTGTCTTATGAATGTATTTTTTCCTGTTCTTGTGAAAATAGAACAGTGTTTGATCTAAGTATAAGCCTTTGAAAAAAACCCTGAGTTTATATATGTTCTTAGAAGAGGCTGGTGAGAGTTTGGCAGTGACATTTTCCAAAGATAGCATCTGCAGCCAAGTAGTTGAGTAGAACTCTCCCTGTCACTGTTGCTCCCTGAATCCCAGTGTGAACTCCAATACAAGTATTAAAAAGGAGATTAGCTCTGCTTTGACTGTTAGGGGCACAGACATCATGAAGGAGAAAGAAGAGGTGACTGGTCTGCAGAGAAGTGAGAATTGCAAGTGGCTTCTCTTTGCAAGTATCAGAGAGTAAAGGAAGGTAGAAAACTGTTAGGAGGGTCTAGGCACAGGAATGCGGAGATGGATATTGTATGATCTGAAAGGGTCCCCTGCTCAGGGGACAGTATGGAGTCCAAAACCAGTAGAGAGCATACTTTCTAAGCCTCTTCTTTCCTCTGCTGTCAGCAAATAGCAGAGAGAACAACAGGCAAAGAATGTCTCTTCCCTTCAGTGCTTGTTGGTTTGGTATTGCTTCTGTTTATTCATACACGTGAGGTCTGTTTGGTGGGTGCTGAAGTCAAGCTGCTGACAACTCACACTGCACGGTGTCATCCAGACTCTGCAGTAGAACTCCTGTATTTTGGCCATGGTTAAGTATAAGAATTAGACTGCTCCAATATAGCTATTTTAAGGTGAAAGGGCTAAAATGTTAAGACATTTTTTATTTTAGGCTGTTGTTGTGACCGTAGTTTATCCATTGTTGTAATGCTCTTCAATTCTGTTCTTAAAAGGCTTTCTCCCCAGCACCCCCTTATTCACTGCACAGTTGTAAAGTGTTTGGGGATTTATCAGTAGGAGTTGTCAGCAGCGGAGTGTAGAATGTGCACAGAGGAATGCAGAAAGGCAAAGAATGGTCTCAATATAGGGAAGTTAATTGCCATCTTGGAGGACTAGTTTCTGCCCATCTTGGATGCTAAATGACTATTTATGATGGGTAGGTAATATAGATCAGGGGTTCATAGATGGCCAGTCATTTTTTTAACACTTGGAAGACATATTTAGCCAGATTTGCTGGTGTTCTGACATGACCAGTACAGCTAAAAGCATGTGAAACTGAACTGTTTACTGTTAAGAGTCCCAAGTGTCCTGAAAAATGGAACCTTAAAATTTCAATCAGATGTATGGAACTAAAGAATACTTGGGACAGTTTGGACCTAGACTTCTGTGTCTTCTGTTTCTGTATCTGTGAATTGTGGCTAGCAGTGTTGTCTTGTTGAATAGGTTGTGGAGAAGATTCTTTTTTTGTTATTTGGGGAGCATTGAAATACCAGAGGAAAGTGAAGTGGGTATGCATGTGGGTGATATCAACACCTGGGAGTAAAATAAAATCTTTTAAAAAAAGCATAACTGGCTTTTATACTAGGTTGTTTGGTAAGAAATATACATTCAGATTATTAAATCCAGTGTTACAGTTCACGTATGCAAAAGCATGGATTTTTTTCTTCAACTCTTTTGGAGTCTGTAATTTTTACTGAAGTTACATAAATCTCAGAAGGCCCCATCTAGATACAGAGTTCTGTTGTGTTTCATTTCATGGAAATTTATAAGAGATTGATTTTCCCTATTTAGACAAAGGAATGTAATAGACAAATTGGGATCGGGGAGAGGCACTAGTCATACAGGTGTATTTTTCCATAACATACTTGGGTAAGCTGCTTGGTACAAAGGTGCTATTTATTACTTAAACTAAATATGCATTGGGGCACATCTATGTGATTTTAAGCAGATGTAAGCTCCTGCTGCCTGAGCTTGAAGAAACTGAGAAGATATCTGCCAGTGGTTAGTGTAATATGAAGACAGAGTATATTAGCTGTGGCTAAGTGCCATGGTAACACCAGAATATGGTTTCTAGTCAAGTTTACAACACATACATTTCTCATTGCTAGTAGACCCAGTTTGCAACTTTTCCTGTCATTAAACAAACAAGATTAATTAAAATACTTTATTAAACAAACAAACTCTTTGTTTTGGGAAGCTGTGTCAGTGATCTTATGGATGGCTTCTGAATATGGTATTTGTGGGAAGAAACTGTCAGAGTTTAGGAAAGAACGAGTGTAACTGTAGAATAATAGAGAAAAGCCCACAATACTTAAACCTGGACACTGCAGAACCTTCTCTTTTATATCTCAGTGAGTGGGATGTTATTGATCCTGCTTATTGGAGTGGGTGGGATTTACCTTGTTCACATCAATAAACCTACACATTCCTTGAAAGTGGCAATTGACAGTTAAATGTTGATTCCTGTGCTTTCCTACCAGTAAGAAAAACATAAGCATTGCTGAGCATCCTGCACTGATAGATGTCTCAGGAGCTTGTGCTGCAGGAGTTTTTTGTAGGACAGAGTAGATCAGACAACTTAGTGTGGTTCTGCTCTAAAAGTGAGTGGTAAAATGTTGGCGTTAATGACTGTGATTATTCAGTCAGATGTCTGACAGGAGTGTTACATGAAATGTTACATTGTGTCCCATATGTTAATTTAGCTGCTAAACTGTAGTAACTTTTCTTTTTAGTCTCTCATTTTTATGTATCTTGTGGGCTGCACAGGTTTTAAATTGTGCCTAGAAAACCTGAAAATCCATCATCGCTCGTTTTACCATGTTATTATGAGCAACACTTGCTTGGAAGTCACCAGCTCTGTATGTATCAGTTCCTGGACCTATACCAAATACAGGAAAGCAGTAATTCCATATAAGCTATATAGCTAAACAGGGCAGGGAAATCCAACTGCTGACTGTTCAGCTGCTGCTGCTGTTTCATCGTGTACCAAAATTTATCAGTGCAATATACCCAGAAACAGAGCATAGAGCAGAAGTTCCAGAACTTTTTTGAGTGCTACTATCACAGAAGGAAAACTGTGATAGAATAGTTGCTTTAGCAGCTTGTACTTTTTTTTTTTCTTTTTTTTTTTTTTTTTGACCATGCACAGATGCAGGAGATGTTTAGGCTGTATTCCTTATCTGGAGGAAAGGCAGTAGATCAGATCTTTGTGGGATACCGGTTTGAAGTACTTTCATAGTTAGGAGGTCCCTGCAGGAGTGAACTGCATTGCAATTACCTGCACAGGAGACTACTGGGTTTAACCACTAACAGTCTTTTTCAAAGTTGTTTTCCTGTGAGCAAGTAGGTGCTAAATATTTTAAGTTTAGGGGGCTGGAATTGCTGTCCATGTAAACATGTTTGCAGTCTTTTTGGTTTTAGGTCTTATGCTTGTGCTTTTCTCTGCAACGCTTCTGTTTCTGATTTAGGAAGGTTTTGTTTTCATAGTTTTGTTTTTTTCATTGTCTCTCTTTTTTTTTTTTTTTTTTTTCTTTGCATGTTCCTGTTTATCTCACAAGCACAAGGAACTGATTGAAACTCCAGGTAGAAGATAAACTTAAGAATAAGAAGAAACTTGCATACACTGAAAAGAAATCACAGAAGGATTGTGGAGAAGGATCTAGAGTACAAGTTCTGGTATGAAATTCTAAATATTTTCCTTGGAAATCAGGTCACTGTCTGCTCTGGAAGACAAACTTCACTTAGTATAGAGTATAGCATGTAAAATAGTTCCACTGAGTCTGTGCTGGCCAGACAAAGATTACTTCTTACCAGAAAAACTATGTTTAAAGTGTTCAGACTATGTTCAGACTGACATAGTTTCTATTCTCTTGTACATGGCATCCACTAAGATATTCTTCATGCTTTAGCCGAATGTTGAAGTGTCTTACATGTAAGACTTGTTTGTATGAAAACTAGCCACAAAGTCAGGGCAACTTCCTAGTACTAGATTTTTTTTTGCCACTGTTAAAAATGTTTTCAGTATGATTTTTTCCCTCGTTAAGATATCAGAAGGAAAACCATATGTAAATACTTTTGAGATGGATTCTTCCATCTCCACAATATGAAGTCAAAAGGCAATTAATTTTCTTAATACTGAAGACGCTGAAATCTTCCATGCATTTAAATAATTCTGTATTAGTATTCACTTTGAGAATACCTTGGTCTATTTCTGACTCCATATTTCCACCAAAGGCACTGGCAAGCATTTCTGCTAATTTAGGGGCCACAATTTGAATCCTCTATACTTATTGTAGAAATTCTGAATTTAGACCTCTGAATTTGCATGAAGCAAGAAAAAAAATCTTTCCTTTGAAATAAAATTATGTTTTAAACCCAAGAAAGCTTATTTAAATTTAGAAAGCCTTAATTGTTCTTTTTTTACTTCTGTAGCATTACATTTGCATTTTTTGGATGAGTAATTATTTCTAGAATTTGGATATGTAAAAGCTCGTCAGATCAAAACCAGGTATACTTGCATTACAAGTTGACTGGCTGGAATCATCACCTAATCCTAGAGAAATGGCTTGATTATTTTTAGTCTTATATAGATGGACTTACTGGTACAATTTCAAAAGCTTTCTCTTTGTAAGTGCAAGACAGAAGACTGGAAGGTCACCATGTATGTCTTCTAGGTCCCTATCCTAGGTATTGTTATATAAAAAACACCCATTTAGTGTCCACTGAACTGAAATTCAAGTTATGATCTCACTGTTGCTAAATACCGACTTTAGCTGGTATAAAATGCTGCAGCTAGAAGTTTGTTAGTTCTGTGTTCAGGGTGACCAGAAGAAAGGACAGGGAGTGTAGAGAGGAGAAACTCACTACAAAAGTAGTTTAACTAGGTGACGCAAGACCTTGAATAAGAACTGGTGCATCAGGAGAAATGAAATGGAGATATAATCTGACAATATTCTTAATATAATTGCGGTTTCCTTACAGTAGACATTTGATTCAAATGTTAGACTAAAGTACAGCTTAACTGTGAATCAGAAAAGTATTACAAAGGAAATGGAAGCCAAAGAATGCATATAGAGGGGCTAGGCATTCATATTCTACCAACTTTTTCTTTGCTTGAAACTGCAGAAATAAGTATGTGGTGTTAAGTGTTCATGAGGGAAACAGCAGAAAAAAACCCATGGAGGTAATTCTAAAATCAATATATTCCATATAAATGTAATTAAGGTCCCTGACATTAGATGAGTTCAAATAGAATTTTCATACACTTTGATGGGCATATTCCAGTTCTCTTGATGATCTGAGATAATCAAATAGAATAAAAAGATAAAGAGCAAAAGAGAAATCACTTTGTAGAAACTATTTGTAGGTTCTGTTTACGGAGTGCCATATTATTCCCTCACAAAACACAGACTTCTAAAAGAATTTTGAAGAGTCATGGTATAATCAGCTGCCAGTGTCTAGGGAAGACAAAAGAATGAAGGTAGTCTTGGATGAATGGACAAGGGGAATATCAAGCAGTTGTCGAATTACGTTGCTTCTGTCGTGCTAATGCTGTGGTCGCTACTCAAATACTGAACTTGGTTCTGGCAATAGCACTTAAAGGGTGCTGAAAAAATGAAAATGTTATATAGAAGACCTGAAATAATTATACAGGACTTGGGACACGTGCTTCATCATGAAAGACCAGAGACAGAGCTTAGTAAAAGTAAAGCTAAGGTGGCACTTCCAGACAGTAATCAAGTCATTTCTTAATATTAACTTTGGTAAACTAATTGGAAACATTTGAAATAAAGTAACTGATATTCAAAAACAGATTGTTTAGTCATGCAGATTAAAAGAAAATCAAATTATTATATCTTAGCAAATGAGGAAATAAAAACCAGACTAATTCAGACTATAATTAAGGATTTTTATTTTTTTTTTTTTTTTTACTAATTGGAACTACTAATGATTGTGGTAGGTTCCTTGGTACTGGTAGTCTTGAAAATTAAGAAGGATGATTTAGTCAAACTAATCTGTTGAACTTCAGGTGGAAATTAATGCAGGTAAGTCCTATGGTTTGTGGGTTTTTTAATGCAGCTCAGACTAGATGATCACAGTGGTCTGTTCAGACTTAATATGTATTACAGTAAAGGTTGTGCAGTCCGTCTTTACTGTAACATTTGGATGTTTAATTATACACAATGCTGGCAGAGGATGTTCTGCATGTGATTACCTGAAATCCTCCAGAATTCAGATTGCTAAATCAGTAAAAAGCAGAATAGAACATGTATATCAAGAAGGCAATAGGATGCTATTAGATGAGATGTTTTCAAGAACAGCATATCTAGTGTGGTGTGTCAGCATTTTATAAAGGCATGACAGAGTCCCTTGTAAAATACCTGGCTATTTAAATTTTAAATGACCTTTGGTCTCCCTTTGTGGTGGGTAGTATTCAAGAAGTGTATGGAAAGTAAAGCAACAGCTAGCCCTGTAGCTCTGCAAAAGATAGCCAGTGGATACAAAGGAGCTATGAACTGTGTTTGCATAACATGTTTGTCTCAAAGTAGGTTAGATATCTGCTTGGCCATTTGGTTTTCTGTAAAAACACTGTTCCCTACTTGTTCCATATTAAACCCTTCTCCATTTATATTTTTATGTTCTTTAAAAATAAAGAGAGAAGTTGTTTAAAACAACTGATAAAAGCAAACCATCTAAGGTGCAGAATGGCCCACGATCAGCATTCCAGAAGAGTTCTTTCTGAAAGAAGAAAGCTAGATTAACGTGAATGTCTCATATTTATTTTGCAAATAATAAGGTTGGAGAAAATAAATACTGTGTGGAAGTGTATGCCCTAGCTTCCCTAAGGTAACACAAGGGTGTATGTTGTGTAAGTAGAACTGACAGATACTTAGGAATCCTAAGAAGTCAGGATTCCTATATTTCAGGCTTCTTCTCTTCATTTTGGCAGATTTTTTCATACCACTGCTAGAAAATAAATATTTTGTTAGAATTGATAAACATCCTTACTAATAACCACATTCTTTAAGTCATCTTTGTACTGTATTCCAGAGGTGTGCAAAAAAGAATGTTGGCTCAGATGTACAGTAATCTTAAAAGCACCTGTAAGAGATACTCAGTTTGCTATAACAAGCAGATTACACTAGTTCCGCAGTACAGTTCAGTGTTCATAGCATTTTTCATACATGTGACAGTGATGCAGTGTTTATTTCAAGTCAAAAGCCACATGTTCAAGTCCCCTTAAAGTCAACAGAGGAAATTGCTTGCAACGACTTCTAACTTACAGCCTACACATTTTAATTTCTATTTTACCCATAAAATTCCTGTATTAAAATTTACTACTAAGCAGTTTTTTATTTTTGTTGTAATACAGCATTTTCATGCTCAGTGAAAGGACTTTAAGAATATCTAGTAATACAAATGGTGTTTTACTATGAATGCAGTAAAAATAACAAGTAACAGTGAGATGGTACCCAAAAATACTATCATTTGTATCTAATGTATTTCCATTCTAAAAAAAAAGTCAGGATCTTGATATAAATACCTATCTGTAATGAGATCATGTCATTATTCTGTATGGCTTCTTACACTGTGTTTATTGCCATATAAATGAAACATCTCCCAGCAGTTTATTAAACAGCACTTTGTCTCCCCAAGGATAGAAGCATGTGCAGTAGATGGCCATGTTTTGGTAGACTTTTTGTGTTTATTTTGGGGCGAGTATGTTGAAAGTGTTTATGTTGATAATGCATAATCAATGTTACACAAAATTATATTCATATAGCTGATTGACCTACAGTCAAACTACAGACTGAGCTGAATACTGCCTGGATAAGTAGTTCATCTGGCACCCAGCACACTCCCACATTCTCTCCATCACTCAGAGGTGTGGATCATGTCATACAATGCACATCTGTATCTGGCCATGGAGAAATAGATCAGCACACATCTGGTTGTAACACAAATACAGGCTTAGTCATGTCACAAGTGTGCATAAACCCTTAATACCTACTCACACATCACTGGACAGTACAACAGAAAGGTCAGACATTGCTAATTTTGTTGATTATGTTATTTTTGTGCATTAATCCCAGTAGGCAGCCAAGCACCACAAGCTGCTTGCTCACTGACCCCCTAACCCCCATGGGACAGGGGAAGAGTAAAGGAAGAGTAAAAGCATGAAAACCTTGGGGTCAAAATGAAAAAAAGTTTAATAAGTGGAAGATGAGAGAAAGAAAAGAAAACAAAACAAATGAAGCAAAGGCAATCACTTTCCACCTCCCACATGCAGACTGGTGCCCAGCCAGTTCCCAAACAAAAGACACCCAACCTCCTTAAACCCCTCTCTTTTCTCTTTTTATGGCTGAGCATGATGTTATATGGCATGGGCCATGGGAGAGGACACAACCAGGCAAATGACCTGATACTTCTTTGTATCTCTTTGGTTAGTTCAAGTCACCTATTGTGCAACCCCCAGTCTTAATTGCAGTGGGTAGTGAGAAAGATAGAAGGCCTTGATACTATGCAAACACTGTTCACCAATAGCTAGAACATTAGCATGTTATCAGCATTGTTTTGGTCACAAATCTAAAACACAACACCATATGAGCTGCTATGAAGAATAATAACTCTGTCCTAGCTGGGCCCAGTACAGTTATTTAGCAGGATGACCTAGG